ATATATATATATATATGGTTATATATATATATTGCAATTAAGGGCGCCTGTGGCGCAATGGTCGGAGCCGCCCTGCAACACATATATGGGATCAATCCCAGGACCCCTGGTCCACCAAGCCTTCCATCCTTCCGGGGTTGGCACATTGGTACCAGACTTGTCTAGAAGGATGAAAGCACTGGCTTGGTACATCGGTAGGCCACCGCGATTCATTGTAAAAGCCGTATATGCATTCAATTGCCTCCAGCGGTGCTTAATGAAGTCGAATGCTTGGCGCATCTCACAGGAATTGACAAACGACGAGAGCTTTATCTTTTTATTTTCATTATACATTCCTGTTAAGAGCTATGTAAACATGACTCTTCATGTATCATGGGAAATAAGACCAAACAAAATCGCTTGACCAATTAATTCAAATTTCGTGTTTAGTAGTTTCTCTGCGGTAATTTTTTGCTTACAAGTTCACAAATGTGTCGATTTTATGCTAAGACGAAGCTGATATGAATTGTTAAGAACCAACAAAAAAACTCATTGTAGTATGAGAATAAGAAACACCAACAGAAGTCCTTCAGGTCGCGATCCATTGCATGGTGAATTGAATCTGGCTGCTGCTGGTGTCAAAACAGACCCATCGAGTGGGAGAATTATAGTGGGAAGTGACGACAGCACTTCGGCAAAAAACATCTATGCAATAGGCGATGTCGCTCAGGTTTGTTCGAATGTCAATCTGCTTAGATCCAAACAAATTCCTTTGGGTGGCGTTAGAGGAAAATAAGTGTAACATATCAGAAAGGCTTCATTTTCATAAAGACTTTGACGCGCCACATCCCGACAACTTGAAGAAGAGCGACAAAAAACAAAGTGGAAAACGCTTCCGACACTAGACGTTCGTTGGCGTCAACATCAGTGACACATGCCTCGAAACCACTCGAAATTACTCTACCTGAAGGAATGTGCGAGCATGAATACGTGCAGATTAGAGGAGACACTCGACTGGTAGTACTACCATCGAGTAGCAGTTGCATTCATCGTGACTGTCGACTCGAAATACTCAATGGACTCGAAATATGTTGACGCGTATGCTCTGCCCTGAGTAGGTGTCAATGAGATCCTGGTGAGTCGTGGAAACTGGGTTTTCTATAGGACAACGACAATCGATGCGTTTTCAAGTTGCCATGGGTAAAATGGCCGGCTGTTCGGTGAAGATCAAGCTCATATGTTCTAGTTTCGTGGTGATACTGGGGCAGTCGTCGCAATTTGTGACAAAAATAGCTGTCATACAACGAACGAGTCCTTGCCATTGTTTACGCAAACCAACTTTGCCTGTTGGTTACTTTTATCAGAGAAAAGTTAATGATTTGAACAGGGATTTGTCCTTTCCACGACAACGCGCTACCGCACATAACTTCAGCAGTGCTGAGAATAGCTGAGAAACGGCTCCACATCCTAAATGTAGTTCTGACTTAATATCACTTTAATGTTTTCCGAGTAATTATAAAGTTTCCTTAAGTAAAACACTCCGCTACTTTGGCGATCTCAAATCGAGACTCTCGCTGTTCTTGAATTCACCACCTCTGTTTCCTTTAAGGAAAGCATCGGCTGCGTGCTTAAACGTTATTTTTAAGTAATCACTGGACATAGCGATTACATCATAAATTCGAAAACCCTTTCTGAAGTAAATTGTAAACTAAAAATTGCAAAATTGCACAAATAATTTACCCGATAGCACAATGAACAGCGTTGCAAGGGTAGTAGTACTCTTGAAATGCTTGCGAAGAGAAGGACAAAGTAACTTTTTGCTGAATAGTTCTACATGTTTGTTTGACTTCTTCCAGTTTTCAGCACTTATAAAATGAAATGGGATGGGCAACACTGGGACTAGAACCTTCTGGTTTTCTGGGTGGCTCCTTACATGTTGCGTATTCGGTACATATAAAAGAAAACATGAAATGAAAGGAAAGAAAGAAACAGACAATTTTATTTCTTTGCTGTTGACGGTGCGTGTAGCGCGGCGGTCGGAAGCACCCTGTAATACACACGGGATCGATCACCGCGCCCCAGGCCTACAAAGCCTTCCATCGGATCCCTGCGGAGTCGGCGAATTGGCAGATTGGTGCTAAACTTGTCTGGAAGGATAGCAGCACCGGCTCCATACATCGGTAGGCTACCGAGAGTCATTTTATGGGCCAAATATGCATTCAATCACCTCCAACGGTGCTTAATGAAGTCGAATGCATGGCGCATCCCTTAGGGATTGGTCAACGCCGAGAGCCTCTTATCCTTTAACGGTTGACGCCACTAAGTGCATGTTTACTCGTTATTTTGGATGTCCTGCTGATGCACTATGCATCCAATTTACGGATCTTTGTGAAATATGTTCACAACTAAATTAAATTTAGGACCGTCCAGAATTGACACCGACCGCTATTCGAGCTGGCCAGTTACTGGCCAACCGTTTATTCAACGGTAAAAACCAATTGATGGACTACAGTAATATTCCCACTACCGTATTCACTCCATTGGAACTGGGCACAGTTGGATACAGCGAGAAACGAGCTATCGAACGATTCGGATTAGATGAAATTGAGGTGGACTGTCTATAGTTAACTGTTTTCTCCTTTTTTAAATGCTCATTTTTAGAAGTTTGGATTTCGATAATTTATTATAAGTGTTGCAATGAGTAGTATGAAGACGCTTCTTGCTTCGCTATTTTGTGGCTCTCAGTGTTACACTTTTTACTGTGGTTCGTTTTAGGTCTACCATTCACACTTTACACCCTATGAGTACGTTATTCCTCAAGATCCCGACGCAGCATATTGCTATGCAAAGGTGCGTACTGTCTCTGTCAATTTCCCATTATTAATAGAACAACTCATTGAGTCACGGATATGTCTCTTAAAATTGCAATTGAGTAATCACTATTTTTATTTTTGCGTATTTTTCATGGACTATCAAGGTGATGAAACTAGTTTTAGACGATCGTTTGGGTATTCCTTTAATATGGGGCGTGTGTAGCGCAGTGGTCGAGGGCGCTTTCAATACATATAGGATCGATCCTCGTATTCCAGGCTCCCCAAGCTTTCCATTCCACCGGGTCGGAAAATTTGTACCAGAGTTGTCTTGGAAGATAGGAGCACCGACTCAATAGATAGGTAGGCCAACGCGAGTCATTATAAAGGCCAGATATGCATTCAGTCACCTCTAACGATGCTTAATGAAGTCTAACGCACGGCGTATCCCTCATGGATTGATGAACGCTGAGAGTTTTATCCTTTTTATCCGTCATACTACAATGTCTAGTGCTTCAAAACGATGAGAAGTGTTTCTAGGTGCCGAATCGTGGTGTGATGCATTCTGATTTCTTCCCAACATCGACTGACATATAGTTCTAAACCTCTTGGTCGGTGGCCATCTATATTTTAGGATTTAGGGGAACAAATGTTACGCTGAACCGACCTTCTCAATCCACATTCAGAATCAAATTTGATGAAGTAATCCTTCGTGTTTTTGTTGAGCAAACGCGAGGTGTTATTATTCTTTATTCACGAATAAGCTGACATTTCGGCGGATTTCGCCTTCCTCAAAACCGCTACCATAAGGTTTCCACTAAGTATGTCACGTAGAGACCAACCGAACAGAAATCACATGGAAGCATAATGATTACTTGACCAATGCCGAGGTTAATAGAAAGTCGGTCGTGGGAGTTACTGCAAATTTGATGATGTGCCGGATTTTCAGCAGAAGTATTAGATGTTTTCTAAATCGAACTCCTATATACTCGAGACTTGTGTTATGAAACGTTTTCATTTGATACTGAAGCTCTTATCCTAGCCGGTTATCTCATCAGCTATCTGTCGCGCTCTTATAAGCTAGTGGCTATTTTAACAAGATGTTACTTCTGACATGAATGAAACACCGCTAAAGAGTGTGAGGTCGAACTCATCCAGTTTCTATGAAATGAAAGATAAACAGAAGCTGATAGCAAGAAGAAATGATAGTTGTGTACTGAGCTGAGGTTTAGCAGGAACTACACACTCTGTGTAGCTTACGACTTATTCCATGGTTTTCCGAAATAGCTGTGCTAGGACTTTCTCGCATCATTACCGCAAGCTCGATGATGCTTGTGGGTTGGATGAATGGTAGTTCTTTGTTGTCAAATTCATTCTAATGTGGTAGATTTTCGCTGTGCAGTTTCACTCTTAACTAGGAGTCCGAATGAAAACACTGCACTTCTCAGCCTGGTTAACCAGTTGAACCCTGCTGTACATTTTGTCGCCCCTTAACATCGCATTACGTCAAGGTGGTGAGGGACGTGAAGAAGGGAGAACAAAAATACCCCTTTTATTTGCATTTGTTTACAAATCGCCAAAGTCATCTAGTTTTGAAATACAAAACCGAACTACTTTTCAGCTGCCCGACTATTTCCTTCTTTTTCTTTCTGGAATGTCTATCGTTTTCCCATAGTGGTTAAGGGTGCATTACAGTAAACGTATGGTTATTGGTTTGATCCCATACCACGGATGTTTGGAAAGATAAAAAGCACAGGAGTAGGCAGCCGCAAGTTATTGTATAAGGCAAATATGTATTTTATCATATGTACGATGCTCAGTGAAATCAAATAGACGACTCATCTGTCAGAGATTGACTAGAACAAAAAAATCTACCCTTCCTTTCTTCTTATGGAACAGCTAAATTCTTTTAGGTAATATGTTTTCGCAATCATCCGCGTAGAGTACTCGGTATGCATATTGTGGGTCCGAACGCGGCAGAAATCATTCAAGGTTATGCAGTTGCGTTAAACGTTGGAATCACCATGGAACAGTTAACAGGTGGTTAAACTAATACACTAAGCAAGATAGGTTAATAGGCTTAAAATATTTAAAAGTTACCTATATTTTTAATTTTCAGTGAAACATTTCAAACATCTTTGTCAAATGTTTCATTCTTCATAATATTCTAGGTTCCTTCTCACTCTTTCACTTTTCACTTCTTCCTCTTTTTTATTCTGCTCCTTTTCTGTCTGCTCTTCAAGTTTTTCCATAGTCTAAGACTTGTTCCTTTGTTACACTTCTCTTTTTTCTTTTTGTTTACGTTCTAAAACTTTCGACTTTTGAGCAAGACTTTTGGCTGTTAAGAAATAGCAGGGGCTGTGAGGACTTATTGGAGTGCTTTGTGACCTCCTTAGTGCGTTTTTCACATTCCAATAAATTCGTCAGTTTTCTTTCCACTTCTGCCGCATGGCTTCGTTTGAGTTCGTATGCTGTTGCTTAATATATAGGAAACTAGCCAGTCATTACGACTCCTGTCTGCACTCTTTTCGTCGATCAGGCCTAATCCGATGCGCAGCTCTGTGGAACCTGCTAAGATTTAGTGAGTTTCAGCTGCTGGTTCGCCTTCAATATGTACAGTAATTTGCGACCTCACAGTCTCATGGTCGTTTAGGGAACCCTGGAGTTTTCTAACGGATGTACATGTCCCATTCCAGTGGTAGACTGCTTAGTAGTTCAAAATTTGACTAGACGTGATTAATCTCAGACGATATGTCTGTCTGGCACTTTAAAGATTAATGAAAGGGAGACATGTTAGTGCAGAAGAAGGAAGTTGAATTTTTTTATGCACGTTGGAACATCTTATTCCATTCTGCTCACCCTAGAAGTTCATGGTCTTCATGAAGAGGTCCTACGATCGGATTGGTGATCTCACATCTTTTTTTACTCTTGGGATTTCGAATCCATGACCAAGGAAGGCGAGATATTTTTAGTACTCTAGTTTCCCTAGCGTTTTCGATAATGCTGATTGGCACGTCCACTCTAGGGGCAAGAGAGAGAGACAGAGCAAGATGAAAGGATTGGTCCAGAAACGAGTTCTCCCTTCCTTTATTGTTATATTTCCAAATGCAGCCGTGGTCCTACCGTCACCATCACGGTGCACTTTTTGTTTGGCTAATACTTAACGTTACAAGCTTTGATCAGCGAAGCGATGGTTGTTTGCCCAACCCTCATCTCTTTCAGCAAAAATAAGACTAAATCGAGCACTTTACTCGGCTAACGTTTCGACGGTTTCGTCTTCATCAGACCCGATGATCCGAGTCGATGGTCCACAGTTGTTCATGTATTCTCGAGGTGGCATCTTCCTCGTGCATTGGGCCGGATCTTCCTCAGCGGAGCATCTCTCTGGAATGAGCCGTACTCACCACTCGGAGATGCCCTTTTATACAAGATTCTGGCTGTTGGTAGTAGTGATTTCTTGTGATACTTCTTTTTCAGGACAATCCATCCTGTAGAAGTCGATTTCATTATCAGCTAGCAAGGGGCATAACAATATTTCAAAAACCGTTGAAGATAATGAAGACGGAACCGTCGAGACGTTAGCCGAATAAAGATCATATCAACTTCGTGTAAGTTTATCAAAGAAAGACGTATAAATCGAGTACGTTCTCGATTAGCAACAATACTGTGCTGCTTTATTCCTACCGTTATGGGACCCATGTTCTTGTATTTGTCCAGCATTAATATTTATTACCGTCGTCGCCATGGACATTCTTTGTTGTGGAGTAAATGGATTTAGGTAGAAAGCAGTTTTGTGCATTATAGTCTGTGGAAAATAGCTTTTCTATGCCGAAACATAGTACAACGCCTACAGTACAGCTGTATATGGGATACAAAAATTATGGTAGGAATTATGCGTTGAAAGAGGCTATGGGAAGAGAATGCATTGAATGAATGCTCACTGTCCTTTATATTTCTGTGTGCTCATCAAAATCTGCTTGCTTTATAAGTAATGTGTTAAATTCTGCTTTTCATAACGTATGAGATATATTTGTTTCTCATGGAAGCAGTAAGCCCGTCAATTATGTAGTCTACGTCTACGACTACTGAACCCACTCACCCCATGATTCGACTCCTTGCTGAGCTCACCAAACCTCTTATCCCACCAGTGTCGCGAAATTGATACTAGACTTTTTTGAGACAACCCTACTCCCATATGCCCATATACGAATGCCCCAACACGGCTATCTGAGGATTTTAGAGAGAATCGAATCTGCCAGTATTCAATAATATTTGTAACGAGGGTAAATATTCTCAAACAGAGATCACACGCAAGAAGTTCAAAAGTTTTCATGGACGGTGGTGTGCGAGGAAACATTTGAAATGCATGAACCGCTAGGACCTGGACATCGAGGTAGCTGTGATGTAGGGCCATTTAATAATTATTAATAATACTTGGGTACTTGGATGGCCCGTCTTCACTGGTTGTGCGGGTCCCAGCATACTTTCGATGCTCTGGAGATTTGCTGATTTGGCCATCGTGGTTCCCTGGAGTCCAGAGGACAGTCTGGCCAAAGTCTGCCCTAGGCCGTCATCACCACAGGCAGCCGCTGCCCTTCTGTATGAGATGGAAAGTCGCCACTGTGCGACAATTAATAATAATAGTAATAATAATGATAAAAACGATAAAGCTGTCAGCGTTGCTCAATCCCTGAAGGATGCGCCATGCATTCGACTTCATGAGACATCGTCAGAGGTGACTGAATACATGTCATGTCTTTACAATGAATCGCGGTGTCCTACCAAAGTATCGAGCCGGTGCTACTACCCTCTCAGGCAAGTCTGATACCAATTTGCGGACTCCAGAGGGATGGAAGACTTGGTGACCTTGGGGCGCAGGGATCGATCACTTCTGTACTGCAAGGCGCTTATGACTACTGCGCTACATGCATCGCATAACAATGATAATAGATAATAATTGCTTTATCAGCATCCCAATGACTACTGATTTTTCATTATACTAGGATAGATCTTGAATCAGCTACTTCTACTGACTCGAGCTCCTTCTCAACAAGTCCTATTTTTTTCTTTTGATTATGTTAAACATCATTAGACATAGAAACCATTGTTTGTGAAGCTAGTTGAACACGTGGAAAGTTTATTCTAGTTTGCTCGTTATGATTCAGATACAACGGCAATCCATCCATGCAGTTCTGAGGAGTTCATAAAGATGAACATCACGAAGCGATCTGGCAAGGATCCGAAAGTGCAGGGATGTTGTGGGTGAACACCTCGAAGCGCTGTTTCCACTCCGTGAATACAACCATGTTTGGAACTATTCGTTTGTACAAACACTAAGGAGTGACAAATTTTGGTCATTCATTTTCCATATTGGATGACCCTTTTGTGACCCTGTTATTCTGGATTGATAAACCAGTTTTATTCTTGGACTTCTTTCTTCTTTTACAGCGATGAATTCTTTTCAGTCTTTTTTCTCCATAAAGGTCTATGTAGAGAGCTGTCTTACGTTTACTATTCACGACTTCGTATCATGGAAGCAGGTCTTCACTAATTTTCAAACATTTTTTCTTCTAGACTTTGAAGGAAAACTACACACCAGCAAAGTACCCTCATGTTAGTGGAAAAAGCCAATTGCTTTGGCTGTTTACGTATGTTTGCGTTACGTTTAACTTAGGTTTTTACAATCGTGCTGAGCAAAAGGGATCTCAGTGTAATTCTGGAGCAAGATTTACGTCATAATGATCGGATAATACATATTTCGTCATGGATCCGAGGTCTCCAACATTGAACCCGCGTCCTTTCCCCGCGAGCAGCGGCGCCAACACTTGCGCTATGCATCGCTAGGCTTGGCCCACAACTGTTGGTTTTAGTTGGTAAGAAAATCAATGGCTGATTCTGTATTTAATCAGCGCTTATGGAACACCATATATCATGTGGACTTTGTTTCCACTATTTGAATTCACATGTGCGCATGTGGAGCAGTAATTAGAGGCTCTCAGCAATCCAAATGGGATTGATCCTTTTACCCAGGCTCACCAACCCTTCCACACTATCACTTCGGCAAGTTGATGCCACACTTATCTGGGAGGATAGCAGCACTCGACACATCAGTAAATCACCGCGAGTCTTTCTATAGGCCAGATATGCATTCAATCACCTCCAACGGTTCTTAATGAAGTAAAATGCATGGCGCCTCACTCTTGGATTGATTCACGCCAAGAGCCTTATCCTTTTTTATCCGTTATTTCATTTATTAGCTGAAGTAGTTTTGATTTGTTCACCACTTAAAACAAGTTGTTCAAAATTACGAAGTGCATAGGTGTCATTTCATAAGAATGATGTCTTATTCATAGGTCTAATTCAAAGCGCTCTTAACACATTCGTGTGCGATATTACAAAGGCTTCCTCTGTATGGTTCCTGTTCTACGGATGTACAAATGTTCACCTGCAGAACATGCATTTTGCAGAAGTCAACCTTTTTTTTTTCCTAGGAACCTCTTGTTTTCACATTCGTTAAGATCTCCAGTTTTTCGCCGCAGTTGCGATGATAAAGGACAAAAGAATAAGGATAGAGCTCTCAGCGTTGATCAATCCCTGAAGGATGCGCCATGCATTCGACTTCATTAAGCATCGTTGGAGGTAATTGGATGCATATGTGGCCTTTACAATGACTCGTGGTGGCCTACCGATGTATCGAACCAGGTCTGTTATCCTCCCAGACAAGTCTGGTACCAATTCGCTGACCTCGGGGAATATAGAGGGTTTGGTTGGTCTTGGCCGCGCGGATCGATCCCACGTGTATTGCACGGCGCCTCTGACCACTGCGCTATACGCGCCCTAACTGCGACGAAACCAATAATCATACCGGCTGCCACGTACCTCACATACGTCGTGTGGCGAATATGTCACAGTGAATGGAAAATTAAACGAGAAGTGGGCATTTTGAAGATATATTTAGTATATGTTGTCCACTTGTCGACTAGAATTTCTCAACAGACCCTCATAGCATTTCCAATTACATCAGTTTCATCAGAACGTCCATTTAATGAACGTAACTGGACTAAGGCAGAATCGATCTTGCCATGTTGTTCCTATGGCAGGTGATAGCCGATCTTCCGACATTCAGTTCCATGACTAAAACTACATTCTCATCCATTTCCTACTATTGTAGCTTCGGATTCGTCAAGTCATCTTCAACGTTCATTCAAAACTGATCGATTTCGTGCTCTACCTATAATTAAAGGTTTCTCCTTAATTAACCGAAGAGGAATGAAAGAACATAGGCTTCAAATGGTTGCCACGTGATTCAGATGTAGTTTTCTTTTTTTTTATCATCAAAATACTTAGACTTCAACCCTTTTGTTCCTTTATTCGTAATACTTTTGCTATGGAACGTTGTTGAAGTCAATGGACAGATTATTTACGAGGACGCAGTGAATGTCAGTGCCCTGTTGTTTACTACTCAATAACCACAGCGATAAGGTTTTTTAACCTCGTGGGATTTTTTAGCTACCAAAAATTTCATATCCAGAGCTAAAATTCTGTGGTACTACCAATATTTAACTCAGTGCTTGACGTATACAACAAGACCTGAGGAAACCACATGTGCAAAAAAAGGTTTAAAAAATGATGATATCAACGCTAACTGAAAGTTTTTGCACAACCGCTATTTTTTAAACTAAATAATCATCCTAAAGTCTTCTTCGCTGAAGGATTAGAAACCTGAAGGGCTAAGAATGACATTTTCTAACCTCGGCGTTGATCAATAGCTCTTTGTTTTTCTCGATAAGAAAACACGAGGTTGTTGTTACAGCACTTTTTCATCCACAATAGCTGACGTTTCGGCAGTTTCGTCATCTTTAGAGCCTGGAAGAGTCAAGTTTACCACCGATACACTCAATTAAACACTTTCATAACCTTAGCAGATAAAGCTTAATACATACGTTTCTATGATTTATGTGTTAAATGTCATCTTTCTTAAGATCTATTTGCTTGTTTTAATTTACGTGTGTGTTAAGAAATTCGTAGGAAAGAAATTTGTGTGTTACGTTTTGTCCGTTAAGGTTATGAAAGCCGTAAGTCCCGTAATAACGACCTCGTATTTGCTCGTAAAGAAAACAGTGAACTATTGATCAATGCCGGGGTTAGAAGTATGTTGATCTTAGGATTTAAATCCACTTAATTGTATTGGAAACCAACCGACTTTCATTTTCCCTCGGTATGGAGGATCAACGTGCCTTAATTCATTGACCAGCTAACACAAAGTTGTTACCAAGCACTTTATTCGGCTAACGTTCCGACCTCTTCGTCTTTGTCGGAGTTTACGAACATACGTAAATTAATGTGCTTACGACGAGAGAAAAAGGTTTGCTTAAACGTAAAGAAATAATATTTCAAAAGCCGACTTCCCTTTATGACTAACCGACAAGTATTCTTGCATTGATATGGTAACATGACGTTGATAGACAACCTTATTCGACTGATGTACCGACGTCTTCGTCTTCCTCAGAGCTGATGATCCGAGTCGATGGTCCACAGTTGTTCGTACTCTCGATGTGATGTCTTCGCCATCACATCTGAGTCGGATCTTCTTCAGCGGAGCACCCACTCGAATGAGGCAAATGCACACTGCAAGGCTCTTTTATACACGATGGTTGTCGTTGATTGTGATTGTCCAGCGGGTATAACTTCTTTCTCCCGGACATTCCATCTTAGAAAATTCGGTATCGTTATCAGTTAGCAGTAAGCATTATAATACTTCAAAAACCGACCTTCCTGTAACCTCAGCATGACTAATCAACATGTGTTCTTTCATTGATAAACTAAGACGGCTATGTTAAACAAGCTTACTCGGCAACTTTTCCACGTCTTCGCCTTGCTCAGAGTCGATGATCCACATTATTGTGTTCTTTTTTCAAGTTCATATTTTTCACTTTCTATTCTTTCCTATTCTACCAAAGGTTTACCACATCATCTTGGCTGGGAAGTGTTTCTGGGTATTGGGCTTTGATGTACAGCGAGGGAATTCGTCCCCCAGCAGGGTCTCCCAAGCTGAGAAGAGAGTCCGGCGTTTCCATCAGGAAGTCCAGCTAGAAGTTAACGAATACCAAGAATCACCATCGTCATGGTATCAAAGTAGTCTCATGGTGGGAAATCTCCCTCTGATCTGCAATAGCGGCGATTGCCTGGGGTGGTGACGACCTGGTGCAGAGTTTGGCTAGGCTGATCTCGGGACTCCAGGGAAGCACAATAACCAAACTAGCAAAACTCTGAAAAATGGAGGTAATGCTGAGGCCTGCACAACCAGTGAGGGCTGGCCGTCTGAGTATCTAAGTATTGTTTCTATTGTCCTATTTCGTTGTTCACTTTTTATGTCCTTGTATCCTTAAAAACGATTTCCAAATGAGCCGAAACGTTTTCTACTATACTAAATATTCTATAATTTAAAGCTCTTTGTAATTACTATAATGCTGAGATATTTGCAAAACTCCGGAATGTCCTTCGTTTCGCCTGTCTCTCAGCTCTTTGTAATATTATTTTAGATTTTGTGGTAATGGCCGCTGTACAAAGCACACGATTTGAATCAGATGAAGAGGGACGCTGCACACCATCTCCTGTGCTGAAGAAAAAGTTTGACTTGTATTTCCTAGATGGACGTGAAATAATTTCTGTTGGGTTTATATCTTTCAGAAAACTCTCACCATTACAAATTCTAAAATCTGATGTCATGAAAGGAAACGAAACAGACTATGGATTTTTCGTAGTTGACCGAACTGAGTCGATTAGTCTCGATGCTGAGGATGTTGCTGAGTTGGACAGCTCTTTGTTGACTGAGAAGTGGTACTGTTATAAATATCTTTTACTTATGTTTTCTTTATCTATTCGTATCTATTTATTTTAGTCTAGTTTCTTCAAATTTCATACATTAAGTAAGGGTTTGAAGTCCAAAGCCAGTCTACATCTAAAAATTCCTATATATGCATGTACGTAAATGTTTATGTACCCGCGTATGTACATATATATATATATGTATATATATATGTACATATGTATATGCACCTATATTAATGTAGAGGCGCAGTGTAGCGCAGTGGTTAGAGGTGCCCTAGAATACACTTGGATCGATCCCTGTGCCCCAGGCTCACCAAGCGTTCTATCCCTCCGGCTTCAGAAAATTGGGGCCAGACCTGTTTGAGAGGATACCAGCATTGACTCGATACATTGGTAGGCCGCCGCGACTCACTGTAAAGATCAAATGTGCATTCATTCACCTCTAAAGATGCTTAATGAAATCGAGTGCATGGGGCATCCCTCAAGGATATAAATCAACGCCGAGAGCTTTATCCTTTTTTATGTATGCATGCGTACATATGCTTGTGTATCAATGTGTATGCGCATGTACATATATGTATACATTTGTATCTATATATATATATATATATATATGCACATAGGTAGCACTTAACAGTGGTAGTGATGTCGGTCAACACGAGCATGCTGCTTTTTCGATTCAGCTCCGGGTCAACCAAGCCTCTCATCCCTCCGGGGTCAGAAAATTGGTACCGTACTTGTCTAGGAAAAATTACTCTCTGCACTCCAATTGGGAACGCTCCAGTCCAGCTATCTCAGGACTCCAGAGAGAATCGACTCCACCAGCATTCTACAACATTCAAGATGAAATGAAAATTCTCAAGCAGCAGCCGAAGCCACATGTAGGAGTTGAAAGATCTTTGTGGATAATGGATGCGAGGAAACGAATCGGATGTGAGAAGTGCTGGGATCCGCACAGTAGACGTGAAGATGGATCATATAAAATAAAATACAACGAGATAGTAAATATGCAAATACATATACGTTTATATGGACTTGTTCATAATTTCTGTACTTCCTAGTTCGAAGTGGAAGGAGAAAGTCCTTTCCACTCTGCTAACATGTCGGATGGATGAGAGTAGTAACCAAACATCTAATGACAGTACTCCGAGGACAGTAAGTTTCCTAGTTTTTGCATTTTTCATTTTTTTTGGCCAAATAAGGAGTTATATCATAGTCTTTTGGTCAGTGGGCTACAATTGGCTCTTTTTAGCAGCTGTTTTCTAGGGTGAAATTTGGGAAGATTGTAATGAATTCAAAAGTTCGCTACAAAGTGATTTTATGGAAGGCATTAATTTTCTCTTATTTAAGAGAAAGGGCTGCTTTAATTGTGATGGTGATCATCATTTTAATGAATGTCCGGAGCCAAAAGATATGAAACGAATTCGCATGCGGCAAAATGAGTTGCGGAATAAAAATAACTTGTAAGTTTGTTTTGCTTTTCAACTACGAAATTTGAAATTGCCTGTGCTTTAAATCGCAATATAGTCAATTTTATTTACTACCTATTCAGTTTTCATGGCGGGGTATGGTGTGAGATGCAACCACAATGATGCTGAGATATTTGCAGAACTCCGGAGCGCCGGTGTCTACTGTGAGGATCGAACGCGCTATTATCCTTTCCGGAGACTAACTTGTTTACCACCACGCCATGAGTATCTTTCGTTTCGCTTTTCTCTCAGCCGTGTTTTATAGGCCCTGTCCGCACCGTCCACTAGCTTAACTGGGATCAATGCCGATTTGAGCTCTCAAGATCAATCCCGTTGACGGGTAATTGCTGATATCACCTATAGATCAGAACGGTTGATAAAAACGCGAAACCAAGGATTCGAATGGCGTGGTGGTGAACACATTAGCCTCCGGTAAGCGTAGTAGCGTGTTTAATCCCCACTGCAGACACGTGCGGTGCGTAGTTTTACAAATATCTCGGCTTCACTATGGTTATATCTGACCTCTACTCTTTTCCAGCTCTCGATATCATGATGATGGAGGATCGTCAGAAAAGAAGTTTCGCGCTGGTCGTATAAGTGATGAGCTTAGGAACGCACTTGGTATAGGAAAACACGATATTCCAGAATATATTTATCGGATGCGCAGAATGGGCTTCATTGATGGTTACCCACCGGGTCACTTGAAAAAGTTTGCTTTCTTTTTTTTTTCGTTTTGGTTTATGCTTTAAAAAGTTTGGTCATAAGAAAAATGGCTGGTTTTCATCGACTAAAGGTTCTTTATATACAGAAAGGTGAACGAAGTGCATATTGAGCTAGCATTGTTGATAAGATATGATGCGTTTGAATACTTGAGGAAATGGAGGCACAAAGGTTTCGTATCACCTATTGGTTAATTTCTTCATTTAAAAATTATCATTTGAGGGCCATTGAACAGGATGAGTCAAGTAGGACTTTACAATTTCACATGTTGGATGACAAACAGTCATCTAGTGAAATGGTAGAACGACCAGATTCGCCACCGCCGAAAATTAATGCCGAAAAAATGATTTACTATTGCGGCTTCAACCAGAGCTATCGTGAGCTAAGAGATGTTAGTGGTTTCCTGTTGTACAATCTCTATGATTCTCAATCTCAAAAGAACCATTCGGAAGGAAGGTTCAGCGTTGCTCAAGGCGTTGCTATATTACGGAACCAAACATATTCTTCTTAACGTCTTCTTATCTTTATATGTGATGCAAATTACAGCGTGAGAACTTCCGAATACCGCCGTTTCATGAATTTGTTGCATATCACCAAGAATATTTGAATCAGACCCATGCGAAAAAACTCGAAGAGCGACGAAGTAAGCGAACTAGAAAGGTTAAACCGGCAATGAAGCGACGGGGTGGTAAGTAGGCGCATCTCTGTAGTGCTATCTGGCCAAAAACTATTCATGTGGAAAGTTTTGCAGGTTGTCCAGAAGAAGACGAAGTCGTGATTCTCGATCTGCCTCCTCCACCACCTCCACTATCTTTTCCCAGTAATGGTGATGGTAACGGTGATGGTGATGATGATGATGGTGATGATAATGATATCGAGATCATCTACTGTGGATCTAGCAAGGTGTTGATAATGCTACAATTCCTTTTTGTGTTATGTTGACTTCCTGCTCGATTTACTAGAATGTCACTGAAGTTGTATCCATGGCTTTGAAAATTTGTTCAGCGCTGACTATAACCACTCAACATTAATGGATTCCTTTGTAAACTCGTAGTTTTACGAAAATACTCAAAATCATTAGAATTACCAGGCTTCAAAAATACTTTAGATGCTTCCATGTTCTCACAGGGCGCGGATGACGCGGTGGTTGGAGGCACCCTGCAATACACACACATGGGATCGATTCCCGTGGCCCTGGCCCACCAAGCCTTCCATCTCTGCGGGGTCGGCATATTGGTACGAGAGTTGTCTGGGAGGTTAACAGCACTGGCTCGATACAACGATAGGCCGCCACGAGTCATTGTAGGGACCAGATATGCATTCAGTCCTCTCGAAACAATCCTTAACGAGATCAAATGCATGACGCGTCCTTAAGGGATTTATTAACGCCGAGGGTTTTATCCTTTATCCCATGTTTTCTAAATGTTGTATACAAGAGGTTTACCAGTGGCGTTCTTTAAGTTACCACCTGTTTCATTTACTTTTGCTGAACCTTCACTCATTTCATAACCTTTTCATTTGTGTTCTAAGAGGCTGAAATGGACGATTTTAGTTCTCCGAAAAGAACGAGGTAATGTATCTGATTTTTGATTGGTATATGTTCACTATATGTCTTATTTGTTTTTTGGGTACTCTGGATTTCAGACTCCATCCAGTTCTACAACGTCGCCGGAAACTCCAAAGGTTTTTATTCTATTTCTTTAATTATGTTCCCAATTTTATTGCGCTAAAAGTACAGTTAGTGGAGAAAAGCTTTTTCACGGATCGTTGATTAACAACTTAATGGGACGCATTTTAGGGTTCTTCGATAAACGTAATAATGGGTACGCCAATCTTGACTCGTCGTCGTGTTAACGACAATGGCGCTGAAGCTGAGCAGGATGAGTCAACGACGCCTTCACTAGAAAGTTTCAGGAAAGGTGTAGTACCATTTGAAGCTCGTGAGGAGCCTACTCCTCATAAAGGCTTCTTGAGAAGGATAATGAGTAAAATAAGAAAGGCACGTCCTAATTAACAGGCCACAATTCATCGAATACTGGTGAAATCGAGTTCAGTGGATCGGTCTCGTAATAGGTACTGAATTTTATATGTTGATCTCGCTTTTTTCCGTGGTAGTCTTTTTCAGCACCCAAAGTTGGAGAACAACGCTAATTAATCGCTTTATGTTAAGCGTTTTAAAAAATGAATCTTTTTCTGTGAACGATTAACGTCAATAACAGCTATTTAATTGAATTACTCAGGACGTTTTGTGATGGGTATGACGCCATTTTGAAGGCTGTCATTCCTAGATTACTTCTAAACGTTGGGCAATGTAATAAACGTTTTATTCCTTCCTGTTCGAGTTGTAAATGTAACAGTTTGATTGTGTTCAAAATTATAATGATGCTGATATATTTGCAAAACTCCGGACGGCTGGTGTCTGCGGTGGGGAACGAACGCGTTATTGTCCTTTCCGGAGAGTAACGCGTTCACCACCACACCATGCAGGTCCTTCGTTTCACCTCTCAGCTAGTTTTCTATCTACTAGTGCCATCAGCAACCACCCGCCAACGGGATTGATCTGGGAACGTAAATCGGCGTTGAACCCAGTTAACCTGAGGATGTAGTCCGGCTGTACATAGTTAAAGTTGATTTGGTCGGTTCACTTACTGTGAATTGGTATTAATTAGCTCCATTTTGTTCCTTTATTTCGTATACTTTTGTATTCAATCGAGAGCTTATCAATATATAAGTATACTAGGGGTCTAACTCAGAAAAGGTGTCCTGTATACCCAATAGTATGTAACGAACAGTCGGGTTCGTCGTTCGTCAACCCAAATGAAGTGTTGCATGTGGGATATGTTTAGTACAAAGTTTGTTGGAGCCCCATCGCCACGATTATTGTATTGACAGGGTAGCACGAAAACTTGCTAGTGAAGACTCCTGCATGGGTTCGTGCATCAGCCTTGATTCAGCACGAAGTGTAGCGAAAAGTACAACAATCATTAAATTCAGAAGCTACGGAAAATTAGGTGTTGTGGTTAGGTGCTAAAGGTATAATGAGTGACAAAGAAGTGAAACATCAGAATAGCATCATAAGAATAGGAAACATGACGCTAAAGCTCTGAGTTGATTGGTATAATGGTAGGTATCCTAACGTTTTACCGCCTCATTGTGGCTGGGAGGTGTTCATCGGTGTTAGGCTGTGATGTAAAAAGGACATTCATTCTCCCAGTACCTTAGTAGTAGTGGCCTCCCAAGCTGCGAACGAGTCTAGCGTTTCCATGAAGAAGCCCAGCTGAGAGTAAACCAATACCAAAATCCGCCACCACCGTGGCATGAAACTTGTCGCATATTAGCAAATTTCCCTCTTATCCACAAGGGTGGAGACTGCTTGTGGTGGTGACCACCTGGGGCAGACTTTGGTTAAGCTGACCTCAAGATTCCAGAGAACCACAGCTAAATTAGCAAAACTGTGAAAAAAGTGGAAATTATGCTGGAGCCCGCACAACCAATGAAGATGGGTCATCTAAGTATCCAAGCAGGTAAGCGGTAGGTATAGCGTTTTGTAAATTACTTTTAGTGTAGGGATTCTCTTAAGGTTTTGTTGTACTTGGAGCACACGCGGGTTATGCGACAACACTCTAGCAGTGATGAAGCTACTTTCGCAAGTGAAATGTATTGATTTGTAAGGACTTCAAGTTCTCTTATCGATTTCGTGAAATACGGCCATAACTTCATTGATCGATATTCGTTGATTTAACGGAAAGAGCTCGGCTACGTATGTTTTACAAAGTTCCCTCAGTGGCACCTGCTCTCTGCTTGTTGACGAAAAGAGAACTCGTGACAGGCACGTTCGCACAACTACTCGAAAATCCACTAACTGGAAGGATAGCCAGTGCTTTCCGTGTCCACGTAGCGTTTGTCTAAAATTCCTTTTTTCCATATTAGGAGTTTCCCATAGTACTCTTATACTTTGCGCTCCTAGAAGTCCTAGTGCAGTACATGAGTTCATGTAATTGTATGATGTGGTTTATGTTTGTAATGATTCTGGAAGCAAAGGGAACGGCCCTGTGTACCTCGTCGATGTGGGATTTCTGACAAGAGTGCAGGTAGCCCCATGTTCTGCATTGTTATGCAGTACATCATTTTCAGTTTAACCACTGTCTCTTCAGTCCTTCTTATTCTGTACGTTTCTTCTGTACATTGTGCATTATGCTTATTGACAAAAGCAGAACTAATAGTGTTGAAGATGAAGCAATATATTGAGTAATTGTGCAGCGAGCCGAGATGAATCTCCTCCTACTGTGAGAACAAACTTGGGATATTGTACATAACACGTGATTTCTATAACGTTTAGACTAAGTGTAAGTTTTATACACTCCTTTTTACCTTCAGAAATCTCACAAATTTAATAAAATGTTCGTTCAAACTCATATAAAGCTCGTTTCTTTGTACTCGATATAAATAAGGAGTTGGAACTTGTCTTAAGGTAGTGCTTATGCTTCGGACATGTCCGCCAGCAGGCATACCGAAGGCGTTTATCATTTTGTGAACATAGAAATAGGTGTATGTGCCGCCGGTATGGGATCAGTTCTTGGTGGTTCTTCCAAAAGTTTAGTTCAAAAATACTGTATAGCTCGCCGTAACCTCAGAAGATTCAAGTGGTGTGAGATATCATGCAGTTGGTTTCAGATGAGTAGCTTCATTCCTAAAGTAACTAGTTAATGTATGTTACTTGTAAGTATCCGGATCACAGCACTTCTCTGATTCGGTTTGCTTCCTCTCCTCCCATTATCCGCGGAGATCTTCGGATTTGCATCTGTCTTCGGCTGTTGATGATTCTAAAGAAATATTGTTGAACTATGTTCGAGTAGATTTCACCTGAAATCACTGGTTAGTCGTGCAATCGTGTTTCCACGTTGTCACCATAGGAAATCACTAGTTTTTAAAGACCGGACGGAGTTTTGCAGACAAATCCGCCACCAATTTCCTAACTTTACACGCATAGAAGCATAGGAAACTTGGTTGGCGTGGAGTGGGTTGAAGCAGCGTGGTGTTTTCTCACCTTCTTTGATCTCTCCTCGTTTGACGTAGTCCTTTAAGAAACAAGGTGCTGGCTCGAGCACTCCTCCTAAACGCTGTCTTGGGAACACCTTAGCTCGGCTATGTCCATGAATGCAAGGAGAATCGACTCAACGTGCATTCTGTGACATTCATAAACAAGACGAAATCCTCAAGCAGCTGCCGAAACAACACGCGAACTGTTCAGAGACCACTGAGGACGATGAGTGCGAGGAAAACGAATCGAATGCAAGAAGTGGCGGGATCCCCACAGCAGATGTAATGCCGGGTCATGTAAAATAAACAGATAAATAAATAGAAATCTCGTTATCATGCTTTCCTACAGCAGCTAATCAATTCGTATTCCACGCCGATGAAGGTTGTTGTTTTCCACGACCAACTTCAAAGTCCGTCTCTCGCAACCCAACTTTTCTGCATGGATGCGAATGCTTGTTGTGTTCACGTTAGGTCAGGTTTTGATCAATAGTTGTTAGCCGCATTTTCGTGGTTACCTACTCATTTCCTAAACAGTGTTTAAGGAGTTTTCCTTGATCTGCATTCTAGCTCTCGCTTAAGTAGTAATTCCTTGAATTTACTGTTGTGTATGAAAAACTTCCGGTTTTTATGGCACGCGTCCAGTCATTGTGAAATATAACTTTTCATAAGGTTACATAGAGTGTCTAGTTCTTAATCCTTATCCTTTTCTGCCTGTCGTGATCCCTTAATGTAGTATTTCAGTTGGTCTCTCACATTTTTCCTCTTTCTCGCTCTAGGTTCTTTCGTTGTGTTCAGGGCCATTGAAGGGATCACGTAGTTTCTTATTTTGAACGATGGGAAACGTGCGTTGTATGATTCCGTAGGAAATCATGCTTCACTTACGAGGTTGATAACAAAGGGGTATGGGGATTGCCAAGATTCATTACAGCTTCATTCATTGGGAAATCGATGTTGTAAGAGCTTCGCAACAGTGTATTGAATCTTACGTGGTTTGTGATACGAATTCACGAGAAGGTTTTCTTAATCTGACTTCTAGCTACTCGGCCGGTCTTCTTCCCACTTATGCCTTTCCATCTTCTCCGACAGGCTACAGGTCGTTCCGTAAATGTGAGTTCATTTCTTTTTCTTGTTATCCCTCTTAGTTCAAATTTAGCATTTTTCCTATTATGAACATTCATCACGTGAATCTTATCACGTAATATTTACGTAAACAGAAAGGGAAGGAGTTTATTTGATTTTTTTATCACTAAAAATAACGCTCTTTAGAAGTGCCCTCTTCAGTTTTCCTGTGAGCACTCTAGGGTTATTGAAGCAGGTGAGATGCTACCATGGCGGATAAATGGAAGTATTAATGGAATATCCTTTGAGATTCCTATGTTTCTTAGATAGCGAAGTTGGCAGACTTGATTTTACAATAGTTAGCTCTGACCTTGTTCCAGACCTTGAGATTATGCTCCACCAGTGCGGCATATCAACCTTTGCCCATAAACCCTACTTGGTATGATATGGCAAAGAAGGCAATGAAAGGAAAAGATCCGAACTCACTCATTTGGGACACACCCGAAGGTATTGCCATCAAGCCGCTTTATCTTAAAGAAGACCGAAAATGTGACGAGTACCGAGAAAGCGAGGTCAGTTATTTTTTAGTCTATACGATTATAATAGCAACAATAGTATACGTGATGCCAATTTATCCTTATCTTCCTAGTTACCCAAGATTGTCAAAGTCGAGCTTTTGGTTGTACACTTTGATTTTACATTCCTACCTTGATCAGTGCTCAAAAATATATCTGCACTTTGCGACTACACTTTCTAACTCCTCAGCAAGGGCGCGTGTGGCGCAGTGGTTGGAGGCGCCACTGCGACACACGCGTGGAATCGATCCCCGCGCTTATGGCCCACCAAGCCTTCAATCGCTCCGGGGTCGGCAAATTGGTACCAGACTTGTCTGGGAGGATAGCAGCACTGGCTCGATATATCGGTAGGCCATCGCGAGTCATTGTAAAGGCCAAATATGCGTTCAATCACCTCTAGACGATGCTTAATGAAGTCGAGTGCATGGCGCATCCCTCAGCGATTGATGGTCGTTGAAAGCGTTATCCTTATCCTTTGTCCTTTATCAAGTTTGGCTTTTTTTTTGGTTTTCAGGACCATGGATAACAATCTGGGTTATTAGAATATATCGCTTTCTTTCTTTGTTAAATTTTTGAAATGTTAACCGTATCAAGATTACACGCCAGCTTCGTGTAAGCTTATTAGGGAAAGTATACGTATTGATTAGTCATGGAGGTTAAAGGATAGTCTGTTTTGAAACATTGTATCATTTTCGTTTTTAATTTTCACAGATTTCTTCATATATGATCGTAACCCTCAGTTCGCAAATTCTTAGTTTAGGTCCTGTTCCACTACTATAATGGTAAGCTTGGACGCAGTTAATTAATGCGCAATGCAGTTTATCAGAAGACGAATATATGTGGTCATTCCACTTTATGTTAAGTGGTTTCTCTTACCACTTTGGACAATGCGCGTTCGTGAAAGTTTAGTCTGCTTTTAAGTTTTATTTCCCAACTTACTGGCATTCTAGCAAGGGATTCTGGGTCGTATATTGTTTGAATGGTTTAGAAGGTATTTCGTGCAATGGAAAGACTCTAATACGGTTGTATCTGTGATATTCCTGCATTGTTATGTTATTTGTTAACCGTTTTGTGTTGTGGTTAACAGTTCTGCATTGAAGCTGTGGTGGTGATCATACAGTTATTTGCTAAACTCAACTAGGAATGAAAAATCTTCTTAGCTGAATGATTGCTCAGAATATGCATATTAGGATGGTTCCGGTACGAACTACTTTGTTAGCAGTAGTTGCTTAGAATAGTGAAAAAAATATTATGGAGTGGAGAAGGACAGATGGATTATTCAATTTTAAGGCACTTCAGATGTACAAAATATTTTCTGGATCAAAGATTTATCACATGATTAAATCCGTTCTAACGCCTATAGTGGTAAAACTTATCGAGGTTCAGTTCGTCTTACATAGGTAGAGAGCGCCGTGATTATTACACAGGTGTATGTAAATGCCTCGTATTCCGTGCCATTCGCTTCCTATCAGATTGTGAAGTTCGAAGATATATTAGGAATCTCAAAAAAGACACCATCTGTTAGTCTGAATAGTAGGGTTCACAATCACATTTACTACCGCGTTTGTTGTGTCCGAATGTGTTACTCTTTCAGCTCCTTCAAAAAACTTCATCTAACTGGTTTCTTGTAGATTTTGCTGTGAAGAACGGAAAACATTTAAAACTAGTAGGCCAATATGTTTGACAGAAATTAAGGCGTTATATTACTGCAGGGATCCAGAAGATATTGGGCGCTGAAGTTATTGTACCAACTGGCATTTCCTACTGTACTTCTCCGAGCAGTTTTGATTTCTTCAAAATTGCTGCATTAACTGTTGTGCTATATCGTGTAAATGCTGTTTATTGCCATATATGTACATATTTCTCAAAATCACAGTTCTTTCAAGGTTCGGATTTACAGATACAGATATACATCTGTCTATGTCAGATGACAACGAAAAGTTGAGAATAGGACAAGCTCTGTCCTACATTCCTAAGGAGTCCTGAATTAAGCTAGATTACCGAAAAAACAGTACAGGAGTTTGCAGTCCTACACCACTGTAAGGTACTCTTTCAGGAAACTGTAGTAAAACAAGTTGCGTGCTGTTAGTACTGCGCTTGGTAAGACAAACTGCTGCAGCAGAATACTTGAGTAGGACTAGTTTATTACAAGTATCCATCATTGAATGTCAGTAATGAGGAACACGTGTGAATTTGTTCTATTCAGGAACTTCGCTGCAATCGGATTTATACAGGGTTTTGAGGCTATTTACCGTAACCCAATGGATAATAGTTGTCTGGGATGAGCAGCGGTTCCATTAAAGAATTTCTTTTTTTTTCAGCTTCCTGGCAAATACCCATTTAGTCGTGGGCCCTATCCAACAATGTACACCCAGCGTCCGTGGACCATTCGGCAGTATGCAGGCTTTTCAACCGTAGAAGAATCTAATGCATTCTACAAAGAGAACATCAAAGCCGGACAACAGGGGCTTTCAGTGGCTTTCGATTTGGCTACACACAGAGGGTCAGTTGCGAGTGGATTATTGGATATTCAGGTCTGAAAATGGTGTGTTCAATGAAGCTACCTTTGCAGAAGCGCTAAATTGGATCTAGGGAAGTATTGCTAAGCCTCTATTACGTATGCCTTTGGAGAGCCTGAGTCTTTGGATTCCAGCTGCGAAACTATCTTCATTTGTTTCGACCTTTCGCAGTGCATTTGGAATTGATCTCTTTCGTGCAAAGTGTAAAGGATTGACCTTTGTTACATTAGCCATGATCTAGTTCGGTCCGTACAGCGGATCATGATTAGAATCCTTGTTGTTAGATGGATAGATTTGAATGCAAACATGATAATTCCCATGAAGATCTCGTGGAACCACTTAATAACCTGATTGGATAGCATCCATGCTTCTTGAGTCACGTTTCATTGATGCTGCGTGCAAGGTCCCCACTGCTGTCTTGGAAGTCTCCCTCAATGTGGGTGGCAACGAGTACTGTAATGGCAGCATATAATTGGTATAATCAGAGCCTCTGAACGTATCTATAGAGGTATTGAGCTTATTTAACCTTGCTGAGGTTACTTATTTTTCGCGGGATCTTATATTTGAATATCAGAAAATAAATATCTCTCGCTGAGGATGTGAACCATAAAAGGGGAACATTTGGGAGCAGTTTATGCAGTTCATGCTCAGCGTTGTTATGTAAGTCTTCAGTGAACATGGAGAAGTACAGGGAGTTAAAGTATGACTAGAGAAAAGAATTTTGGCACTTTTAAATTTTTCGTGTTTCAGATATGACTCTGATAACCCACGTGTATACGGTGATGTTGGTATGGCTGGTGTTGCTGTCGATTCAGTGGAGGACATGAAGCAAGTACGCTTTATAACCCTATGTTTCTTTCAGTTTTTTTTCCGGAATAATAAGTTTTCTTTCAAGTTGTTTGACGGTATCCCACTTGACAAGATGAGCGTATCCATGACCATGAATGGCGCAGTAATTCCTGTGCTTGCGATGTACATAGTCGCTGCCGAAGAATCTGTAAGTGTTTTATTTTTAGTCAGTACATATTTTTTCATTGATAAGTTAAGACAAGCCAAGTTAGGGCAAAGGCGGTTTTTAAAATATATTCAAAGTTTAGTTCTTAAATTGTTTTTAAACCACTAAGCGTTTTCCTGGGATTCATGCAACAGCAATGTTGACGATTATGACGAATATAAGTTCTCAATTTTCTTGAGTAAGAAATTTGGCTCGTGTACCGCAGTAGTCGGAGGCGCCCTGGAATACACATGGGATCGATTCCTGCGCTCCAGGCTCACCATGCCTTCTGTCTTTCCGGGGTCGGCAAATTAGTTCCAGACTTGTCTGTAGATAACAGCACTGGGTCGATACATTGTTAGACCACCGCCGAGTCATTGTAAAGGCCAGATATGCGTTTAATCGCCTCTAACGATGCCTAGTGAAGTCGAGTGTATGGCGCATCCCTCTGATTGATGAACGCCAACGACTTCATCCTTTCCTTTTTGAAGAAATTTAGCGTAGTTGCATATGTTTAGGGTGTTGATCGTAAATTACTAACTGGTACCATTCAAAATGATATTCTCAAAGAATTCATGGTCCGCAACACATATATTTACCCACCGGATCCATCGATGCGTATTATTGGTGCGTAACATACTTCCTTTGGTCAAATGTTCACTTAATGAAGTTTATATTCAATAGTTTTTCAGGCGATATTTTTGCTTATACCAGTAAGGAAATGCCGAAATGGAACAGTATCTCCATTTCTGGATATCATATGCAGGTTGGTGTAGCTCTATTAAAGGTGGAAGAAAATATCTACGTCTAAGGCAGGCCTCTCAACGGATTATTGTGTCATCATGGCTGCGAGGTGTTCCTGGGTGTGGGACTGCAATGTATAGCGAGGGCATTCATCTTCTCACCGCGGTCTCCTAAGCTGAAATGAGTACGGCGTTTCTATCAGGAGCCTAGCTAAGAATAAACCAATAGCAGCATCCACCACCGTTCTGGTATCAAAGTCGCATGGTGGCAAATCTTGCTCTGATCCAAATGGGCGGCAAATGCTTATGGTGGTGATGACCTGAGACAGAATTGGGCCATACTATCCTCAGGACTGCAGGGAACCTCCATGGCTTAACCAGAAAATCTTCGAGGGATGTAAATTATGCTGAAGCCCGCACAACCAGTGAAGACGGGACATCCAAGTATCCAAGTAAAGTAGGCCAATTTACTGTATTGCAAGTTTTCATTGCAGTAATTACAGGAAGCAGGTGCTGACGCCGTGCTTGAGATGGCTTTCACAATCGCCGATGGAATTCAGTACTGTCAAACAGGACTTGATGCTGGTTTAACCATTGATCAGTTCGCACCTCGACTCAGCTTTTTCTGGGGAATTGGAATGAATTTTTACATGGTGTGTGTAGAGAGTGCTTGGCGAATTGTTTTAATCGGCATTGATTTTTGTTGATATTGCAAAGGCATACACCTCAGGTGAAGGATTTGTTTTCATTGAAGATGACTGGCCGTTATAGGAAATTGCCAAAATGCGGGCAGCTCGTCGTCTGTGGGCAAACCTCCTTACTGAAATCTTCCAACCCAAAAACAGCAAGTCGCTCATGCTTCGCACACATTCCCAAACCAGTGGGTGGTCGCTTACAGAACAGGTACGCAGGATACATAAGATAATAAGATATATTTCTACGGAAGCATATCGTTTTGGCGAACTAGCTAACCTTGCTTGTGATTGTAAAGCATTACGTAATAATCTAGAATTTCTCATTGGTATATATCTGATATTACACATATATATGTAATATATATTTCTGATGATATCGCTTGTGTAACAAAAGGGTTAAAAAAGGAGAGTACAGAGGATCGATTCCCGTGTCCTTGGCCCACCAAGCCTCCCATCTCTCCTGGGTCGGTAAATTGATACCAGATTGTCTGGAAGGATAGCAACACTGACTGGATACATCGGTAGGCCACCGCGAGTCATTGTAAAGGCTAGGTATGCATTCAACCACCTCCAAATAATGCCTAATGAAGTAGAATGCAGTATTCCCTCAGGTGGTGAACATCGTCGATAATTTTATCCTTTTTAACTCTTTTATTTACTGCCTTTTTCTTCTTAATGGCAGGGTATGTTGTGAAATATAACTCGTATGAAGTGCTGAGATATCTGCAAAACTCCGGACCACAGGTGTATGCAGTGGGGAACGAACACGCGCTGTTGTCCTTACCGGGGAGCAGCGCACTTCACCACTACACCATCCGGGTCATCCTTTTTCTCCTTTATCCTTTTTCTTTATCGTCTGTACGACGTAGTCTTCATGAGTCCATCTTATTTCATGGCTTCAGGATCCATATAATAATATTATTCGCACCACTATCGAAGCAATGGCATCTGTATTCGGTGGTACTCAGTCACTACACACGAATTCGTTTGATGAGGCTCTTGGTTTACCAACAAAATTCTCTGCCCGTATTGCGAGGAACACGCAGATCATTATCCAAGAAGAAAGTGGCATTTGCAAGGTAAACGTTTATTCATTTGTTACATCAGTAGGATTGGATTCTCATATCATGTTTAACGCTTTTATTTAAGAAACATCACATTCGTATCATTTTTAGGTTGCGGATCCATGGGGAGGTTCGTACATGATGGAGTCATTGACTGATGAACTCTATAACAAAGCTAGAAAGGTATTTTCTTTTTGTTACGTTGTTTTACTCTGTCCGGTATCTTCTCTGAGTGTTCTTCGATCACTTCTTTCATTCAGGTGTTCGACGAAATCACTGAGTTGGGTGGTATGGCAAAAGCAGTAGCATCTGGGATGACTAAGTTGAGAATTGAGGAGGCTGCAGCTAAGAAACAAGCCAGGATCGACGCCGCTAAAGACGTTATTGTGGGCGTCAACAAGTATCGACTTGAACAGGTAGGTATTCGTTCTAACAATAGTTTCGTTATCATTATTTATTAAGCGATCAGTTTAAAGCGAAACCACTGTTTAGTTCGTCTAAATATTTATTCTCAAGTGTAGGTGTAAAGGTGATACATTTATTTCTTCCATATTTATGCACATGTTTGGTCTTGTTGTTCTGACATTTCGCATCGCAACGCAGTTTTTGGATATTGTGTGAGGTTATTTTTGTCCTACCCGTGTATTCTGTACGAAGTATGTGTTCCAAGACCCAATTATGACACTGTCGCTTTTCTGTATTGTTCACTTATTGCTTTCAGTACTTATCCCTCTAGTAATTTTTGTGTTTTCCCTATGTTGTCTCTGTTTTTCTCCACATATTTTCAACATTTTCTATTCAGACCTTTCTGTTTCTTAAGTGTGATCAAGATTACTCTACCGTCATCCAGCCCCGCGATACTGTCGGCATTTGGTAGTGGGTTTTTGAACTTCTCCTTCCTATATCACCGCCTTCTGCCAATTTTCTGTCCTCATCCTCAATGTTGATTTGGTTGATGCTGCACCATTCCCCATCACCTGACAGGTTCCTGTCTCTCTTTAGGTTTTGGTAAGGTTCTGGCTTTATTGATTGACGAATTCAGTGGTGAAAAATGTAATTCTCTGGTTTTGAATAATAGCAGATGAAGACGAATTGCACTTCTTCGTTAATGGGCTTCTTACCGACAGTGACTAGAAGCCGAAGACGCTGAAGAAAATGTGGGATAAAGTATGCTTCTCATCGAATGTTCCTGTGATCAATCAGAAAGTGTCAGTGATACCTGGTGTAAGGACGCAGTTCAGCTATGAGTAGTTAGATAATGTGATATCTGGCAGCCGCTGGATCTTCGATGATAATCATTCCGGAACGACTCGACAGATTCTGCTTGGATGTACAGAATCAACTCTTTTTTTCTGGGTTGTTGCTTATGTTTGATTGATAATATGCGGAACGCAATAATGAATGAGTTCAGAACTGAAGTCTATTTGAGCTGGACTCGGTTTTGTACCTACATCTTAAAATCACCATATTTAGGAAGACACCACTAATTCAGTGCTAGAAATTGAAGTGTTGTAATCACTGTTATAGGAAATTGGGAAGATTTCGTCAAATCTACTGCAAAACGTATTAAACATTTCGGATAATGGAGATTTCTCTTCAACTTGTTTCAATAATAGACATCTACTGTATATTTGTTTTCTAAAGTAATCTTTCTGGGCATAATGTTTACAAAGGGCGCGTGTTGCGCAGTGTTCGCAGGCACCCTGCAATACATATAGGGTTGACCCTTGCTCCCCACGCTCACCGAGCCTTCCACCCCTCTGGGCTCGCTAAATTGGTACCAGACTTGTGTAGGAGGATAGTATTATTGGCTGGATACATCGATAAACCACGGCGAGTCATTGTAAAGGCCAAATATGAGTCCATTCACCTGCATACAGTGTTTAAAGAAGTCGAATGCACGGCCCATCCCTTGGGGATAGATCAACGCGGGGAGCTTTATTTATTTTATTTACAGTGTTTACAAAGTCGGTGAATGGTTGTATGCCCAAGTGTTTGAAACTTGTGGAAAACACATTTCATTGCAAGAGTTTACAGAAGAGAACAAACTAGCCATAGTTACCGCCAAGTTGGATGTAACATAAGTTAAAACAAGGAAGTCGGTATACTACAAAGATGTTGTGTATTATTGTGGAAGTGCTTATTTACTACACATATTCCGCTATTCTGCAGTTCTGATAGATAGCATTGTGTGGCTTCACTGATGGTATTTGACAAATTGTGCATGAAGCATTCCAAATTTTCCATCTCTGGAATTCCATTACCTAATAAAATCGATAATAAATCTAAAATGGAGTGAACATTGTAACTACTTAGCGTCCATATTTCAGGAGACTAAAGTTGATGTATTACACGTCGACAATCAAAAAGTACGAGAAAAACAGATTGCAAAATTAGAGCATATTCGAAAAACAAGAGATCCTCAACGAGCAAAGGCCGCTCTTGAAGCCATCACAAAGGTATGCTAGGTTTTATCTTTGTTTAGCTTTATGTGCATATTTGTTTTCGTTCAGGGCGCTGCAGGGAAAGAGAATCTCCTGGAATTGGCTGTTGAAGCATCGCGAGCTCGTTGTTCTGTTGGGGAGATCAGTGACGCTATGGAGAAGGTTTTCACTCGGTATAGAATTTCAATTCTACTTAACTGATTTACCACTGAAGGAAATAATTATAGGGTAGAAAAGAAATAAGCGTAAGCAAACGTTTTGTGACTCCCTTATATATATATTATATTATATTATTTTATAGTCCTTGTGCTTGCTATTCTCCTTCGTTCTCGTCTTCATTAATAAAACTACTTTTGGTGTTCATGATTCCTAAGGGATTTTAACTGTTTATTTTAATAAATACATTTATTAATTGTTCTTGTTCAGATATGCTGCTGTCAACAGAATGGTGTCCGGCGCCTACAAGTCTGAGTTTGGAGAGACTAGTGAGATCGATCAGGTAGAGTATGAAATGGTTTTGAAAGCAGTGGTAGATTCTGATTCAACATATGTGCGTGAATGAGGTCATGTGACGTTTATTTCTCAAATTTCTTGACCTTCACGAACAGTTGTTACACATTCGGGGCCGCGTGAGCTGTTCGATAACCGGGGATAATTTTTTACAACTAGAGTTCTTTAACGCAGAACTACTAGGGGATTTTAAATAATAATAGGAAAAGTTCGCCATAGAGACCTGGGAGTACTTATGTGTTTTCTCAGATATTATTTATATTCTTATATGTATATTTGTGCAACGAACTGTGCCCGCGTGTGGTGCAGTGGTCGGAGGGGTCTTGCAACACACATGGGATCGATCCCCGCGCCTCAGGCTCACCAAGCTTTACATCCCTCTGGAGTCGCCAAATTGGTACCAGACTTGTCTGGAAGGACAGGAGGACAGCAGTATTGACTCGATGCATCGGTAGGCCACTGCGAGTCATTGTAGGGGCCAGATTAGCATTTAACCACCTCCAGACGATTCTTTATGAAGTCAAATTCATGGCGCATCGCTCAGGGATTGATCAACGCCGAGAGTTTTATCGTCTTATTTTTACAGCGAACTGTATTCATCCTTCAATATGATTCTGTTCAAGTTCAACCTGATATTTTCGCTGCGAGTGATAGTAGCTGCAACTACTAGCAGTAAAATATCGAAGAAAAACCATTATGGCTGTGCGAAGTAATGGTTTTTCAATCGCTTCGCTGTGTGAGACACAACCCTTGAAATCAATGAAGACGTTTCGTGGGCTTTAGTAGTCTAGTTTTAATTATAATAGAATAATAAGGAACTTGTTAGCCAGAATGTGTACACTATAATGGCTTCTTTTGTTTGATAAAATGATTTGAGTTTGTTTGGCGTTAAGGCTTCGGTAACGTGCCACCCATAGAATGAGATTAGAGAGTCGTTAAAGTGTTAATTGTTTAGAAACTGTTTAATTCGACACACTCATCTTTGAACAGTTTCAACTTTTGGCACCACATGTCGAATATGTAGATATTCCTAAGGCCGACTTCCTGTGAACCTCAACGTTGATCAAATAATCCATTTTTCTTGATGAACAGACACGAGCTTGTTAACAACAAGGTTTATCCAATACAATAGTGACTGAGGTTCCGGCAGTTTCGCCTTTTTTAGTTCCTTGAAGCTAAACATTTTTATGACCTCCCTCGGCGGAGAGAACAAAATTTGGTGCATAAATTTTTATTCCCACAGTAAATAACTTCTCTTAAACAATCACTATTTTACTCTTCTCAAGTCTCCCACTTCCAGCTAACTTAAAAAGAACAAAAACGTGAGTGAAAGTAAAATCAAAAGGAAAAAAAGAAAAACCGTGAGTGTTCGAGAGAAACTATTTACTATTCGGATAAAAATTTATATATCCATTTTTTTCTCTGCTGACTTTATGAAATTGCTTGGCTAAGTAGATTGCGTGTCAATTTGACATTTCGAGGCTTTGAAGAAGACGAAGCCGCCGAAGCTTTAGCCAGACTGTGCAGAATAAATCTTGTTAACAACCTCCTGTCTGTTCATCAAGAAAACAATGAATTGTCGAGATGCTATAAGTGTATTTTAGGTAATGGAGCGCGTAAAAGCTTTTGCTACTAAGGAAGGTCGCCAGCCGCGTATCATGATTGCCAAGATGGGTCAGGATGGTCACGATCGTGGCGCAAAGGTCGTGGCGACTGGTTTTGCTGACCTTGGTGCGCTTTGATTAATACTGACTCCCACCTCTTGCTATTAATATAAGCAATGAGAAAAGATGATATCCTAGGAGAAATTTAGGATTTGACGTTGATGTTGGACCCCTATTTCAAACCCCTGCTGAGGCAGCACAACAAGCTGTCGATGCCGATGTGCACGCGATTGGCGCGAGTAGTTTAGCTGCTGGTCATCTCACACTTATACCTGAACTCATTCAAGAGCTTGGTAAGCTTGGAAGAGAGTGAGTTACCACACAATCATTGTTGGTATTTTGTAATTTCCAGATCTTACGGCATTTGAGATTTTGCACATCATGTTTCTAAATATATCAAGGCGCAATGAAGCTTTTCCAGAGATATTATTGTGATTGCCGGTGGTGTTATTCCACCTCAGGATTATGATGCATTATACAAAGCCGGAGTGTCGTTAATCTTTGGACCTGGAACCAGACTACCAACTTGTGCCAATCAGGTGGGGTATACTGTGTTTTCGTAGCTGTTAGGAAATAATGCTGATGTTATCGTCACAGATGACTTACACAGTGCGAAGATCGTGGATTTACTCAAAACATTCCAGTCATTAGATTATTCTTGGTAAAAGGAAGCGATATTGCAGTATCTTTACAAAATGTTTCAGGTTCTTGACAAGTTGGAACAAGGACAGGAGAAACAGAGCGCGAAGTCGTAACTTTGCCATCATCATCTTTGATTGAACTTAAGTAACTATCAACGTGCATTGAACTAGTCCTGAACGAGTATTTTTTTCTCAGTGTTAATACTGTTAACATAACCCTAGTTGTTTTTTTAGTACGTATCAGATGTACAGTATTCTGACAAGTGCCTCATTTAAGACTCCATTACCGAAAGGTCCGTCGATTGGCAGTAATGTGTACCGATTTCATTTTTTACTCGAATTTTTTTTTCAATTAGTGATTTTACATTATACTATGACCACATATAAACGAGGATGTTTGTCGCTTAGGGTAATATTGGCGTGTTTTTAGCCCAGACATGAAATGTCTTAATTCGGAGTTCGTTTTCCCTGGAAGTTACAAAATTTAACTGAAGGTTGGTTGATATCCATGTTAAACTCTAAATTTTACAGCTGGATATCTATCAAGCTGTAGGAAATGAAGTTTGACTGTGAATTGCTTCTGAACAGTTGCTTCATATAGCAACATGAGCTCCATATTCGCATACGCTCGGTTCTGCCTTCTCAGCCATTTCATGTGATTCGCCACATTCCACCAATGAATCCCATCAAATTTGGTCCTATTTTCAAATTTCATAGACTATAACGAAAGTTTTATGAAGAAGTAGTAATAACATAAGTGCTAAGTTTCTTCACCTGGATTTTATAGTGTACATCTTATACTTAGTTTGCAGTTTTCTTCGAAGGAAATAATTGTTGCACTGGATATTTACTGTCAACTGCATAACACCACGGACATGTCCGCTGGACGAATGTTTTGTGCTCGTCTCCTGAAACAAATATAAAGTGCATGACTGAACACTCAACTAGGTGCGGAGGTGCTTACTTCCAAATGTAACAATAGTCAGAAAAAGTCCTATATCTTAGCTTGCCTTTCGTGGGATCGTCCTCCAGTTTTCAAAGTGGTTAGATTCTTAATATTAGCGAACTTGTGCTTTCTATAACGATTTGACACTCTAGTAACTGAGTGACAGAAATTTACAACTAAGTACATTTGATGGCGGAAGTGGCGACATTCGAAAGCTTCTAGCCGTTCTAGTCACAGACTTAGTGTTGTGTTAATGAACTCGTTCTTTAGTCTAAGGAAGTACCGGATGTCAGTTTGCAAAATACTGTGATTTTTACGCATTTGAGATGTTCCGTCTTCTATTTCTGTCTCCTTAGTTTGCTTTCATTATAAGCCTATATGTTGTTAAGCCACACCTTGTCGATAGAACTGATTGCGATACCAGTCGCCGTGGTTATTGTAGTAGTTACGATAAAACGAGGAGAGTGGTGTGTGAGCTTTAAGTGCTAAATGAAAATTACTCAGTTGTACTTAACAGTTCTAACCGAAATTATTTCAGTATCAATACATAAGAGAGAGCTATGACTTGTAACCTAAGTCTATAGCATATAAAATCAGGGTACATAGGAGTTACATAAAGTAACCCAGCTTTACTAGCTATCTAGTGCTCTAATTCGTGAGCTGATGAAAATCCACAAGAATCTCGATTTTGATGTTCATGAAAGGTAAAGGATAAAGATCGGTGTTGATCACTCACTGAGGAATGCACCATCAATTCGACCTTATTTAAAACCATTCCTCCCAACGGTTTACCGCCTCATCGTGGTTGGGAAGTGTTCCTGGGTGTTGGGTTGCGATCTACGGCGGTGAGGATTCATCGCTGTGGCAGGATCTCGCAAGCTGAGAAGGAGTCCGGCGTTTCCACCAGGAAGCCCAGTTAAGAGTGAACCAATACCACTATCTGTCGCCGTCCTGGTATCAAACTAGTCGCATGGTGACAAATCTCCATCTGATCCACAAAGGCTGCGACTGCCTGTGGTGGTACGACCTGGGTCAAACTTTGGTCTGGCTGACCTCGGGACTCCAGGGAACCACAGTGGCTAAACCAGAAAACTCCAAAAAATGGAGATTGCGCTGAGGCTCGCACAACCAGTGAGGACGGGTCGTCCAAGTATCCAAGTGAGTTAGATGTAATTGGGTGCACATTTGACTTATACAGTGACTTGTACCCGGGATCGACTTTCTATTAACCTTGCCATTGGATTATAAATTCGTCGTTTTCTTTCTCAGCAATCGCGAGGTTGTCAAACAGCATACTCTTACTCCCATGCAATGCATACATACAACACAATCGTAGCTGACGTTTCGGCAAAATCGCCTTCTTCAGAGCCTGGAAGGGTTCACTAATACGCAACCATCCACCTGATGTGGAGAGGTGCAGTCGTCAACTATATGCGACTCTGAGCAGCTGTTCTTCCTCGATGGAAGACAGGCGAAAAAAGCGGTGGTTTTTTCGAGAAGCCGTAGATCGTGTAATTATCGTGCAGATTTTCTTCATCTTTCTGTTTGCATTGTTGAAGTGTTTGACTTAGTAAGTTGCGTATTAGTGTACCTTTCCAGGCTCTGAAGAAGGCGATTCTGCCAAAACGTCAGCTACGATTTTGTTGTATGCGTGCTATCGTATGGAAGTAAACAGTGACTTAGCCGACCAATGTATCGGTGCTGCAATCCCCTTGGACAAGCCTGGTGCCGATTTGCCCACCTAGGAGGGATGGAGGGTTTGATGAGCCTGGGGCACGGGATGGAATCGATGACCACGTGTGTACTCCACGACATCTCTAACTTTTGGCGATCCCAGTGGGACGGGAGGCTTGGTTAGTACAGGTCGCGAGATTGAAGCGATAACCCTGTATATTGTATTACAACGTTACACTGTAGTATCCATCTCCTACCTTTCGAAATGATCAGAATTTTTCCTTCTGACCTATCGTGTTTAGATCGTTTCATCTCTTACTTCAGGATGGAATTCCTTATTTACGTACCTGAACCTTTCGAACGACCTAATGTTGTTGGACTAGGACCGACTATTGTCCTAGAAGAAGTCGGTCCTACATTTATGCCGAACAGAGTCCATCTTAGCTTTACTAGATCATCAGCAGCAGAAGCCCTTGAGCCAATATCAACTCCGGCACCATGACGATCCCATTCGGTGATTCCACCACTAAATTTGATCGGTGGTTATTGCTAAGAATTAAAGACAGTACTTTCTATAATACCAACATTTGAATTGGAATTTTATGTACGAAATAATGATAGTAACTATAAAAATCATATCGTTTGTATGACCTGTTGTCCTGTTGATTGTCGAGGGACTCGAGCAGGCGTAAGTAAATCTTTCATTTCTCTCTGTCGCGTGCAAGAATAGGGCAGTGAGTTCTTTCCGCTCTAGAGACTCGATGAGCATCATATCTTTTTCCCAGGGCCTTCGTGAAGAACTCTCACCGAGGTCGGTGGTGTTCCTAGAGTATATTCGAAATCCCGACTAATCCAGTTTGTTTTTTTTTGCCCAAATTGTCGTTCACACGCATTATGTGTCTGGTCCGCCTTATCTTCGACTGTTTGGCGTACAGAACGGCATCTTTGATTTTTGATCGTTGACGTAGATCGGAGCTTCAGATCCCATCCCTTACTTGTGTGGAACGGGATACTCCTAGCATCGTTCTTCTCGTCCTCGTCCTAACACGATTTTCTCCATTTCTCTTCTAGAAGCTGTAAATGTTCTGAGAGTCGGAGTGCAATCATCTTGGTTTTGTTATTGGAGAAACTTAGGTGGGCTTTGCGAATACTTTTCCCAGCCTCTGAAGGTAATTGCTACTTTTTCTCTTTTCATTTCTTTTATCGATTGTCTGTATTGTTTTGCAAGTGTGGATGTGAGTTGATCGGTAACTCGTGCGATTTCACGCTGGCGTATTCGCTCGAGTGTTTCTGGAAGCAGACATCTCTTGGTGACCTTCGAAATTTCACCTTTCATAGCGCTAACGTGAAGACGTTGAATGAGCCGATCCTATTCCTCGTTGATGTTTTCGAGAACGGGCCGACTAATGAATTGAATAAATCCCGGTTAATGACGATCTTAGGATTCCACTTTTTTTCTTTAGCGAGTTTTCCCTTTTCCACGTGGAATGAAATCTTGCACAGAAGAGACGATGATCTGATCCCGCTTAGAATTTTGGGACAATAGCGACATCGGTCAGGCAAAACCTTCTATTTACTATGATGTGGTCTATTTCGTTATGGTACTCTCCATTGAGACTCCCACGTCCAGCGTTGAGGGTGGGGCATCTGGAATTGCGAGTTGCCATGGATGGTCTTCGTAGCCATGATAAACTCTGACAGCCGCTCACCCTGCTCGTTCTATTCTAAGCCGTGGGTACCAATGCGACGTTCTTCAGACTTTCTTCTGGGTCCAATCGTAGGGTTGAAGTGTCCAATTATGACCTTGAAGAATGTATGGTCCTCTCTGTCTCTGTCTAACTTCTCCGAATCTATATAGAAAACTTCGGCTTCGACTTCGCCATATGTTGCTGTGTTTGCGTAGAGGAAGAATTTTGTAAAAGCCGGTATTGATCTCCAACTCTTCAACCATGAAAGTCCGATTACGGTTGTTAGTTGTTCGAATGAATCGATGTTCACGGCCAAACTCGTGTTGACGAGAACGCCGACTCTACTATCGCATTGTTCGAGGAACTGTTCTTCTCCAGTGTCATAGATGGCGTTGAATGGGTGGCGTCTAGTCTTGGCCAGGTCGTTAACGTCGTACCTTATCCTTCTTGCTTGCATAATCAAGTCTTCTACTGAGGACTCAGATGCAAGTGTGCGTGCATTGTAGGTGCAGATCGTCATCTTAATCCTTTGCGCTTTAGGCAGCTTAGAATGGCCCTGAGATTTTAGCAGTCTTTCTGTTCTCGTTCTACCCTATGCTGCCATATTGGGGGCTCTTTTAGGACCAGGGGAATGTCGCCCGTTTATTTTACTGTGTTTAGCTTTTTGATACATGGAGGATAGGTACAGTCACGGGTAGCTTTTCATTCTCTCCCAGAGTAGACGGGTGGGCTTAGTTTTTGAAAGCGACTTACTCAGACTTACTTACCTCCTCAGATATACTTCCCTAGAATGCTTTCGGCCGAATTGACTCGTAGAATAAAATCCGCGTAAAAAAGCAAACCTTCCGCATACATGCATACATCACGGGTAGCTTGCCAGGCTCTCCCAGAGTGGACATGGAGCTTATTTGTTGGAGGCGATTCCTAACCGCCTCCCATATACTTCCCTGTCACTTGATTGCAGGCTTTTGGCCGAATTGACTCGTAGAATACAATCCGCTTAAACAAGAACGCGCTTATGCACGCATGCATGATTATATCCTTGCAAACACAAAAGACACTTACCAAATCGACGCAACAGAAGTAGGGAGTCTAACCTGTGGAGCCGTATGCATCTCAGGGTAGCCAAAATCGTTTTTAGTGTACGATTATCTACTCCCTCCACCCTTACTCCAATACAATAAGCGAGAACGCACCCACCCAATCATGCATGAATAGGTCCTCGTAAATGGAGAAGGTTTGTGCTAAATCAGAGCAGCAGAAAGAGGCAATCGAACCTTGGATCCAGTTGTGTCTCAGGGAAGCAAAAGTCGCTTTTGGTCCGCGATTAACCCTCTATCAGCCACTTAAAGAAAAGCCTGGTTACTTCGCGACCAACTGGCATGGGATCCCTCCAAGCTAGATCCGTGTAGATATAAAAGTAGTTTAAAAAACAACTAAAATAGAATGCTGTTCCTAACTGTTCCTAGTATTTCCACATGAAAACTATTTAAAGAACCTCGGTTTCTTAATTGAAAGCATTATTCGATTAGAATGAAATCTAGAACGGTTACTAAGTACCTGTTGGTCCTCCAAGGTGTATAGTTAAGTACCAGCGACAAAAATTCCCGAAGTCTATTGCCTCGGCATTTTTCTGCCACCAACAGGATAAAGATGGATTAGGGATACTTCGGTGCTATTTAGAAACTCATTATAATTGACTGAATTTCGCATTATCAGGTGTCCTTCTATAGTCACATGCTTTAGAAGAACGTACTTGTTTAGTTGGAGTGCTTTAAACACCTTCAGTCGTTCGCCAAACTCGACCACGCCGTCGCGATCGGTTACGTCCACGACGGCTCCCCAGTGATCCCCGACTTCCGTTTTGTCGTTAATCATCGGCAAAGTCAACGGTTTGAGGAGCCTATAAAACGTTCTCTAAAGTTTGTTTCTCTTAAAATTGCGAACAAAGAACACTGACGAAACTGTATACGTCATTCATGGCTCAGTTTGATGCTAGAACACCATTACTGGTTATTTCTTACAATAACATCAATTGATTCAACAGTCATGAGAGAATAACTGGTTTGAAGACAACGACATTCTCTATTCTATCGATATGTCTTTGTACGTCATATATTTTGGTGTGTATGCAACATAACAAGTAAGCAGTTTGAAAGCGAAAAAACTTCAGATAACGAAGGATTTTCGGATTTCTCCGATTTAAACTGAATGAAATGGCATATCAGACCAGGCACGAGCTGACTGACAGGCATGTTTCCCACAGACTGCTGGACTGACCAATTGTCCAATGGAAAGTCTTCAATTCATATCTAATGGAAAATGAACTGCATAATATATATATATACGAATATATGTATGTATTTATAAATTCGTATCTATATTGTTCAACAATCGCATCTACTTAACAATGTGGATGCTTACCTAACATCTACCCCGTCGACATAACCATATGCGGCACCTTTTCTCTCGGTTAGACCAATCTGTTCCTTCTTCAAGATTTCGATACGTGGTCCAAGGCAGAGATATTCCCGGATTCCAGGAACCAGACAACTGATTATAGATCTGAAAACATCGAATGGTTGTTCCTGGCCAGATACACGCTGGTCTGGAGAATCATCAGTTAGCAGTTCTACAACCGGAACAATTCAGATAGAAATATTGAAGTTCTTTATTGTTTTTCGCTAGACTTCTGACAGATGGAAGCATAGACCTTTTGTTGTTTTGGAAATAAACCCAGAAATTTTACAGTTTGATTGATACAATATCCGTTTCCATCAGACTGTAAGGACACCGGATATGTCAAAACAGTCACCAAGAAACCTGTTATGTGTCTGTTGGGAAGTCATACACAGAAGTAAAAGGAAGATAAAAACGAGGCGAAGTACAAAGAAAGTTGCAATAAAGTTTAGCATAAATGCGTTCTAAATGAGTAGATGACCTCGTGCCAAAATGTTCATCTAAATGATTGCCTCTATCAAATTCTATAAAGCTGATGAACAAAATTCCATCTTAAAGGACGCGCGTAGTGCAGTGGTAAGTGTTCCGCTCAGTACGAAGACGGTCTTTGGTTTGATCGCAGCCCAAGATAAACCAAGCCCTGCGTCTCTTCGGGTAGACAAATTAATACTAGACTTATCTGAAAAGATAGAATCACTAGCTTGAACCAGATTGGAAGCCAGTAGCAAGTCATCTCATAGGTCAAGTATGCATTAGTCATCTTTACGACTTTGCGGAAGGAATCAGATGCACTAATCAATACCGAAAACTTTACCCTTTTATACATTTTAAATCGGAAAATTCACCAGAATCATTCAATGCACTCATGTGGGAACTAAGCTCACTGAAGTTTACAGTTTTTAATTTACTTGGACAACGAATATGCACCACGAAAATCACAAATATATAAGCAATGCGGCCTTCGAAGTACCTCAGAGTGATAGGTATTTCCTGCTGGTTGACGGCCAGCGCTGCCTGGCGACGTGATCTGATTGATGCCGATGAGAGCTGAGCAATGACAACCATGAGCAACCACATAAGCATCGCTAGGTAAGGTGAACCCAAAGCAGATACGTAGCCGACAGTTCGCGTGAAAACACGATTGTCTTAGCTGGTTCTCGGACAAATGGCGACCACGAATGACCACCAGCTGTGTTCGAAAAGGATTCGAACGATTGGTAAAATGAACATCAACAACAATATTCATCGATGAATTGGGAGAAATTCATGGCTTAATCCCAGTTCCAAGGTAACAAACCTTGCTTTATAATATCTGTTGATCGCTTGTGGTGGAATCTCTGGAAATGATCTCACACGGGTAACCCATCAATCGTGGAAAAACCAGTGTTTATTACGTCAGTGAGCACAGAAGATGATTATTCCATAGGCCGCCAACGAACATACATGCATACGAAACTGGTCACACTCAATCTACGACGTTTGTAAGCTAAAGAATCAGTTGGAAGAGAAACTGACGCCCGCAGGAAATGTGACTGACCACCTAAGTATCTAAACGACTAAGCTGTCGCTCTAGTCACACTGACCTTCTCGTATGGATCGAAACGGAGGTCTGGGTATGAGAATTACGCTGATGTTCTATCACTGTTTTACTCTGTAATTTCGTACCTTATTGTGAGGAACATACAGTACACGAGGATTCCGCAAACGGATACGAACGAAAAACGTTTTTTACGACCACATGCTGGAGATCTCCATTAAAAAAAAAAAGGTCACAGGGTTGATCGATCCCTGAAAGATGCGCCATGCACTCGACTTCATTAAGCATCGTTGGAGGTGAATGAATGCATATCTGGCCTTTGCAATGACTCGTGATGGCCTACCGATGCATCCAGCCATTGCTGCTGTCTCCTCAGACAAATGGGATCGGTTCCGCGCGTGTGTTGGAGGGCGCTTCCGACCACTGCGCCACACGCTCCCTATGCATTACTCCATAGTGGTGAAAATATTGGCAAAAACTGGGAAACCACATTATGTCAACATTAAAGAACAATAGCGTGTTATGTTAGATTATTCTAAAGCACTTCATTATGTACCACATAATGCACGTTGGTTTTGCAACAACTGCTATTAATCCCTTTACAACCAGAATAATTGAGGAATTAAGGACTTAATAAACTTGTAGAAAAGACTATACTGTATCGCCTTATGGGCATATATCAACTTTATAGATCATTCCGTCTTTTTTGAAATGGTTTAAAATTTCAATTTACAAAAACTGAAAACGAAATTTTAATTTTTGGTATTTCAAATGTAACTGCGATAACCACGAAGAGCAAAGATGAATGGAGAATACCTTTGTGTCCTGTCACCTGTATCACCTGCAGTCCCGTTGATCGTCGAGTGACTCGAGTGGGCGCCAGTAAGTCTTCCACTTTTCCCTGTCGCGTGCAAGAGTAGCCCAGTGGGTTCTGCTCACTCTAGGGACTCGTCGAGCATCATAGCTTTCTTCTAAGCTTTTCGTGAAGAACTCTGACCATCAAGTCGGTGGTCCTGCTGAAGTGCGTCTAACATATCGAGGAATCCAGTCACTAACGGCTCTTATCCATCGGTTGTCATTCATACGCAAAACGTGTCCGGCGCACCTTATCTTCGACTGTTTGGCGTACAGAACGGCATCTTTAATTTTCGATCGTTGACTCAGGTCGGAGCTTCGGATCCCATCCCTTACTTGTCTGGAGCGGGATACTCCTAGCATCGTTCTTTCGACAGAGCGTTCGATAACGCTGAGTGATCTTCCATCTTGCTTACGCAGCTACCAGGTTTCTGACGCATACGTTAGGGCAGGAAGTACCGTTGAATCGAAAAGGTGGGCACGCAGTCAGGTGTTCCTTGTTCTCTTCACTACGTCCTCGATGCTCCTGAAAGCTCCCCAAGCCGCTATTTTCCTCCTGCTCAACTCTAGAGCTAAGTCATTCATCATATTGATTTCCTGACCTAGATAGATATAACTGGAGCATTCGGAGATATTTGTTCCGTTGAGCGTGAATGGAGCATGCGAAACCAATCCGTTCTTCATGAACATCGTTTTTGTAAGATTTAATCGAAGACCAATTTTTCCACAGGATTTATCAAAGTCGTCAAGCATACGTTCCGCTTGGCTAATATTTGGTGTTATAAGGACGATGTCATCAGCAAAGCGAAGATGGTGTAACTGCCCACAGTCGGTTTTCACTCCCATATTATCCCATTCCAATGCTTGCATGACGTTCTGGAGGGTGGCGGTAAATAATTTTGGAGAGATGGTATCGCCTTGCCAAACTCCTCTTTTGACGTCAATGTTAATTTTAGACACTGCTTGCTCACATGGCTGCTCTTCGTCCAGTGTTCCGGCAATCCTGTTTAGGATGACTCGCGTGAAAAGTTTGTAGACGACAGGCAGTAAGCAGATTGGGCGATAGTTGCCTATATCGTGTAGGTCATCGTTCTTAAACAATAACACGGTCTTGCCGGTCTTCCACTGAGTAGGGACGTTGCATTCAGACAGCCAACGTGTGAAGAGTAGAGTCAGTGTGCTTACGAGGACTGGCGGAAGGTTCTTCAGGTGTTCTGGTCTTATACTGTCCGGACCTGGTGCTGTTCGATTTTTCACCGACGAAATGGCATGTCGGATTTCAGAGGGAGAACCGGTGGTACAACATATCCATCCTCCTTTGTTTCATATGACGGAAGGTGGACGTGGCTATTGAAGAGATCCGAGCAGTATTCGTGAATAATTTTCTCCTTTGCCTTTCTGGACGCTGTAACTGTTCCGTCTGGGCGCCGGAGTGCAGTCATTTTGGTCTTGTTATTGGCGAAGCTTCGGTGGGCTTTGCGAATGCTTTTCCCAGCCTCTGCAGCTTCGGCCATTACTGTTGCTGTTCTCTCTTTAAGGTCCTCTTTTATCGCCTGTCTGCACTGTTTTGCAAGTTCGGACGTTGGTTCGCGGTTGCCTGCAGCTCATGCGATTCCACGCTGGTGTATCAGCTCGAGTGTTTCTGGAGACAAACGTCTCTTGGTGACTTTCGAACTCTGAGCTTTCATAGCGCTAGCGTGAAGATGTTGAATGAGCCGATCGTACTCTTCGTCGATGTTATCGACGACGGCATCTTCCCAACAGTCGAGTAGCGAATTGAATAAGTCCCAGTTTATGGTGGTTTTGGGATTTCGGTTTTGGAATTTAGTGGCTTTTTCTCCCTTCCGCGAGATATAGAATCTTGCATGAATGAGACGGTGGTCTGATCCCATGTAGAATTTTGGTACAATAGCGACATCGGTTGGGCAAAACCTTCTACTTAGTCTGATGTGATCTATTTCGTTATGGAACTCTCCATTGAGGGACCCCCACGTCCAGCGCTGAGGGTGGGGCTTCAGGAATTGCGAGTTCCCATGGATTGTTTTGGTCGCCATGATAAATTCAGACAGCCGCTCACCCTGTTCGTTCCATTCTAATCCATGGGTCCCAATGTGACGTTCTTCAGACGTTCTTCTTGGTCCAATCTTGGCGTTGAAATCTCTAATGATAACCTTGAAGAATGTGTGGCCTTCTCACTAGAACTTCTCCAAGTCCATATAGAACGCTTCGACTTCTTCTTCGTCATAGTTTGATGTCAGAGCGTAAACGACGAGGATTGTCAAAGCTGGAATTGATCCACGTCTTTTTAATCGTAAACGTTCCATTCTAATTCGTGAGTCCCAAAGTGACGTTCTTCAGACGTCTAAGCAGCTTCCATTAAGTTTGAGATTTTAGCAGCCTCTCCGTACTCGTCCTACCCAACGCTGCGAAAATGGGGCTCCTTCGGGGTCAGGGGAATGAGGCCCGTTTTTTTTGTGTTTAGCATTTTTGGTACCCACGTATACCTTGCTGGGCTCTGAACGTGGGGGCTGGGTATACTCACGGGTAGCTTGCCAGGCTCTCCCAGGATGGACATGGAGCTCATTTGTTGGAGACGACTCCTAACCACCTCCCATATAGTTCGCTGTCACTTGATTGCAGGTTTTTGGCGGAATTTACTCGTAGAGTACCATCTGCATAAACTAGAGCGTATCCACACACGCATGCATGAATGCGCTTCGTAAATACAGAAAGAATGTGCCAAATCAGCGCAGCAGAAACAGGGAGTCCATCCCCTGGATCCACCTGCGTCTCAGGAAAGCAAAGGTCGGTCTTGGTCCGCGATTAACCCCCTATCCGCCACCTGGGGACGCGCCACGTAGCCTCGCGACTAGCCGGCTCGAGATCCCTCATATGAGCATATGAGGAAGATCCGTGGCCTTTGTGTTTGCCTTTGTGTCCTACTGAACGAAATCCCACTTGTTCAATGGAATTTATATCCGAATTACAAGCCCTGATTTAAAAAGTGGAATAATTGTCATTTCATAGTCCCGAGAAAATCGGGATCCACCTCGGCGAAGTTAAAAAAGCTTTCGCTTTCTGAAAAAAATTACTAGATTTCAGTTTTTTCTAGCTTAATTGGTAAAATTGAGAGATGCGGTGAGATGTACTGCTCTAAAACTGAAAATAACCATTATTTTTGTACCAGATGCATTGAGATCAATTCACATCGTCTGTTTTGTCGTTTATAACGCAGGCAAAAACGTTTTGTTGAAGGTGTCAGGATATAAAATTGGTGACCCTACACATCGTAAGTCGAAATCGAGAACAGGTAAAACTTTAACCCATTTTGAGTTGACGAGAACTCTTTCGAAAATAACATTTCTAAGCTCAGTGGGACCCATTCATTATACCACTTCTTGGCTAATGATTGAATTTTATTTGAAAGTGGCTGACTGCATGCGTATTTTTGTTGCCTATTATGTTATCGAAGGGGAGTGGGTAGCGCAAACGTGGTGCTTCCGTCGATTATGAGGAAGGCTCAACCTACCAAAGCGATTGTTCAACTCCAACCAGTGACCACCAAGCTTCTCATCTTTCTAGGAACGGGAAATTGCCACCAAACTTGTCTGGCACGAGTTCACTTCTGCGAATCCGCGTGGGAACGCTCTAGCACGGCTATTCTAAAGACTAAGGAGAATCGACCCGACCAACATTCAAAGACACTCCTGAGGAACAAGAAAGAATGCTCAAATAGCAGCCAAGACTAAACGCAAAGAAAGGCCGAACACCTTCGTGGATGGTGGAGGCGAGGAAACGAATGGAATGTTAGAAGACCAAGAAGTGCGGGACTGGCTTAGTGTGATATATGTAATTTCGGGCGTTATAATAGTAGTAAATAATAACTACATTATTGAAAGGCAGCCTTTTCAGCTTTATTCTGAGGTAAAAGAAATGTTCGAAAAGGTAAACTGTTTACTGGCCATCAAAATTCCATTCGAACTCTCAAAAAAGCAGAATGTATCTCGATGCAGATTGATCTTTTAAGTGTTGGGTAAAAACCCTCGGATCTCTCTTGCATCTGAGGAGCGTGCTGGGCACTCACAAGGCTATGTGGGGTGTTTCCAGGTCGCAGATAGAAAGGAAGTTAAACACAGATTAATGGATCAATCTTGATTATGATGAAACACAGAAAGAATTTGGGGGATGAATTCCTATCTCTTCTTTAAAAGAGATGAAGAAATCCTCAAGCAGTTGAAACAATACGCGATATGTTAGAAGACCTTAATGGACGACGAATGTTAGGAGAACGAATTTGAATGGAAAATGTGCTTGGATCCGCACAGTGGATGTAATGATGAGTCATACAAATGTATTTATAAAAATGTTGTGCCCTTAAATTCCGGCAACCCGTGGACACATTCGGGCTTACGAACTGTGTCTGTCTGCGAACTGTATTCTGTACGTTAATTCAGCTGGACACGTTCAGCCATTGATAGAAAAGTAGTTGTGACGCGATAGAGTCGATCACGACAGATAATCAACACATCCACTGTGAAATAACCTGTAAAACTATCCATGGGGGTGCAACCCTTAGTACAAAACACTCAAAAAGTAACACATTCCAGTGACCACATTTCAGGCCCGACATGTCAGGTAGGAAGAATATCTTATTCTTAGAAGGGAGAGTTACTGAAAAGTATCTAATATGTCGGGGTCATTTCAGGCTATCATTATTCACGAAGAAAGTGCAAGCTAAAACAAGGTTGCTCTTTCATCAAAGTCATCAGTAGCTGCGCCAATACCACGACTGGGAAGTTGAGAACATTTTAAGAACTTCATATAAGGAACCAAAGGCTGAATTCGAAAAAAAAGATAAAAGTTTATCTAAGATTACCCTACTGAGATTATGCATAATAATTACTTCTGAAAGCACGCTACAGCCAACTCTAGAATGATACAACAAAACCACGGTCGTTTTGGATCGCTTTTTTCCGTTTTCAAAAGGCACCGTCATAGACATGTTACTTCCAGACAGCCTTGATCTGATATGCCAGTGCTTAAGTGCATTAGACACTGACAACTATCAACTTATGACTGTTCCTACAACCATTTACAGAGAAACGATGAAAAGGTCTTAATCTAAGAAGAGCTGAAAACCTGACCGACCTGCTGAGGGTGCAAAGAGTATTCGTGACAAATACTGTAATTTCGAGAATTATTGGACCAAGGTGTGTCTAAATGCAGGACATGTCCAAATCCATAAGAACGATAGAGAACGCCGTCGAAGACTTTATCTAGTATCTTTTCCACAACTGCATCAACCCTTATTCGCACGTTCTCAAGGAAGTTGCATATTCTCAAGCGACTAGAAAAACTCACAAAGTCATAATACAATGAGACGTGTCCGTTATCTTCGAAGCATAAGTTAATTCAGTCGAACTCTAAACGTTGAAGATCGAGGAACCACACGATATTATTTCATCCCATCCACTCATCGCTGTGATTATCACATTCATCCTCATCTTACTCACGTTCACCCTATTCCTCAGGTACCAGCAACATAAGGAGTTCTACACTGTCCTCAGTGTTCAGCTTCTTCTGTTCACTGACGATGAAGAGTTTATCGAGATTAATCTCTTAATTGTCGTTTTTTGACGCGAGTCAACGTGTTAAATCTAATATTCCACCAATCGAAGCAATAAGAAGCTCAAGATGTAAATACGTTGAAAGCACTAAGGGAAAGACTTACGAAAGAGGCAAAAACAAGGATCTTTTAGATGGTGAGGTAAGATGCAGCATCAATCACATCAACAACGAGATCTATAGAGACAAAAAAAAGGAATAATTTCTCAGAAGATGAAGATGTACAGCAGAAAGACCACATGTTG